ATTCCAGGGGTGAGCAAGGTGGTGACAGTGGACGTGAAAGGAAACTGGCAGCGCTGGCTAAAGGTGCGGGACCTCACAAAAGGAGTGACCTATTTCTTCCGTGTCCAAGCACGGACCATTACCTACGGGCCCGAGCTCCAAGCCAATGTCACAGCTGGGCCAGCAGAGGGTAAGTAGAGCTCCACGGCAGACAGCTCGGTGTCAGCTGCAACTTAAGCCTCTCACCTCTTGCTCCACTGAGTTGGGGATTTGTCTACACTCATGGCAAGGCAGGATTGGTCAACTCAGAGCTGACATAAACTTGGGAATGTTTTAGCAATAGGAAAGTCTTCAAAAGGACATATTAATGTGAACTTCTGCAGGTGGACTTCTTACATATAGATGAGCAAATTCTTAGGTGTTAAGTGTGTAAAAGGTTGGTTTGTTTTCTAGGAAATAAAACAAGAGAAAATAAGTGCATTCAATTTTTGGAATAAAATAAACAAGAAAATAGAAAAGTTTTCACATGTCATGAAGAACCATGTCACCTCCCACTTAGCAAACTGCTTTGGCCTTTGTTTAAACATTTATTAGGGCATGGGCAGCAGAATCAATGATTAGGGAGAGCCGTTGAGTCCCGGGCACGGTGCTGGGCACTTTGCACATGTCATCTCTTTCAGTCCTCTGACAGCCTCCCAGTTTTAAGATGAAAAACCATGCTGAGTGAGCTTAAGTAAACTGCCCAAAGAACTAGAAACCCAGACAGATCTGACTCCACGCTGAGGGATGACGAATCCCCCCAAGTGCCAATATCTACCCTCCCTTTTCTTTTTTCTCCCACAGGGTCCCCGGGTTCCCCTAGAGATGTCTTGGTCACCAAATCTGCCTCTGAACTGACCCTGCAGTGGACTGAGGGAAATGCTGGCACCGCCCCCACCACGGGCTACATCATAGAGGCCAGGCCCTCAGGTAGGGGTGGTGGGGCCTTCTAGGCTGCCTGGTGCCTTGCCCACCTGCTCCAGCTGCCAGAAACAGGTGCTGCCCAGGAAATGTCTAAGCCAAGCTGAAAGCAACGTTTCTAGGAGTCTCAGTGTCAGAGCCCTTTCGCCTCTCCTTTCAGCATTTCCTCTACAATGCTGAAACAAAGAGGGCGGTTTTGTTGAAAGCAGAGGTTCATTTCCCACTCTCCTCCTTTCAACTTTCATAATCACAGCTGTGCTGTTAACCCTACGGGCATTCGATTCGTGATGTTTTAGCCACATGACACTTACTTAGGAGGATGATAACTGTCATTCTCAGAAACAGGTAGATGAGAACTTAGGGACACTTAAAGACAATTTCAGATCATCAATAAGATCCAAGAGTGTTTTCAGGGACTCGTCTCAGGGTTCTAAACGTTTGCAGCGTGTACGGAATCATGCTCATTTCTGATGATTATGAATATTCTTGTTAATAGTGAATCTGACGCATCATTTGCTTCATCCTTTAGGCTTCCGAAAATGAGGTCTAAGATCCGTCCCCTATGCTGTTCACCCAAAGGATGTTTTTCACCCTTCCTTCCATTTGACTTTAATAACCAAGGATGGACATTATTGGAAATGATTTCTGATAGGTTGAGTCGATATTACTGCTTGGAGCTAGACAGGATTACCAAATGTAGAGAACACAGAGCAGCTTCATACAACCTTCAGAGGGTGCACAGTTAACCATGAATATCTGAGCATGAAAATATGTGATGTGCCAGAGATGCGTGCAGGAAGCAAACCATCAAATTCTTCCCACCAGATGGACCACGGTGCTAGGAATCATTTTAGTTTAATATTTAAAGTGGCTTTTAGACCAAGAGGAAAGATCCCCAAAATTACACCCATCACTGTGTCAGAGACATTTCTTCCCTCCTCCTCCACCAAATTGCTTTTAAAAGATGATTAGTTAGAATATCTGAGCATGAAAATATGTGATGTGCCAGAGATGCGTGCAGGAAGCAAACCATCAAATCCTGCCCACCAGATGGACCATGGTGCTAGGAATCATTTTAGTTTAATATTTAAAGTGGCTTTTAGACCAAGACGAAAGATCCCCAAAATTACACCCATCACTGTGTCAGAGACATTTCTTCCCTTCTCCTCCACCAAATTGCTTTTAAAAGATGATTAGTTAGAAGCGCCTTCCAGAAATTTCTAAGGAGAAACCTAGTACATAAGACCTAGAAAAAATTCTACTTAAAGGCAATATGAAAAATTATTTGGCTCAAGAACTCAAAAATTCAGGCTTATTGGCCTGGGAGATCCTGAAAGTATCTGTTGAGCAAGGCATTTGGCTTGTTCTAGAAACGGAGGATCCTAAATCAATGAAGGATCTGAACTTGGCAGGGCCTTCTGTGGTCACTGGGCATCCCCCAGACCTCTGAAAGCCAATGGCTCCTAGCATAGCCAACCTGCTCTCTCCTGATGATATTTGATTCTAGAGCACTGTCAAGAGACTGACAAGAACTGTGAATAAAAGGTCCTAGTGAGGTCTGGACCCAAATTGAGGGGTTGGGGGCTAAGGGAGAGCAGGCCAGTGGTGTGGAGCCGCATCATATAGGAAAACAATCTAAACATTTTTCTCTCCAAGCCTAGGGAGAGCATTTATTACAAAGGTTACTTTGTTAACTTTTCCAGCTCACCAAGGGATTCATGGATAGAATTCAGGAGATCCATGAATGTGGATGGGAAAAACATACATTTTTATTTTCACTAAACTCTAGCTGAAATTTAGCACTTCCTTCCATTATGAATGTAGGTATATTCGTTTGCTAGAGCTGCCATAACAGACTACCACAAACTGTGTGGCTTAAGCAAATGAAATTTTTTGTGTCGTACTTCTGGAGGCTGGAAGCCCAAGATCAAGGTGTCAGCAGGGCTGATTCCTTCTGGGGACTTTGAGGGAGAAGCTGTTCCATGCCTCTCCCCTGGCTTCTGGTGGTTACTGACAATTCTTGGTGTTCCTTGGCTTATAGATGCACCACCCCAACCTCTGCCTTTATCTTCACATGGCATTCCCACTGTGTGTATGTTTGTGTCCAGATTTCCCTTTTATAAGGACACTAGTCATATTGGATTAGAGCCCACCAAATCCAGTATGACCTCAACTAATTATGTCTGCAATGAGCCTATTTCCAAATAAGGTCATTCTGAGGTATTGGGGGTTCAGACTTAGACATATAAATTTGCAGTGGGGGACAGAGGGGCATGATTCAACCCATAATAGTAGACAAGAAACCACACAAGTAGGACCTGTGCCATTGTAAGCAATAGAAACCACAGATACTTTTCATATGACATTCCAGCTGTTGCAGATATTTTCCAATATCATTTATACTGGTCATTGCTTTAAAATTATGTCATTTGTAGACTCTCTGCTAGACCTTGTCATCTAACAAGTTTATGCAGAAGCATAGACTTCAACAGCAGTCACAAGTAACCTAAATTCAACCCTTTCCACACATCTTCCAAAGAACCACGTAGCTAAATAAGGAGTGCAAAGAAAACTACCCATGATCCACGACTCCAGCATTACCAGGAGACAGATGTTACTGAGAACTTCCAATTGCCTCGAAGTAACTGTAAGCATTATCAATGTAATTGGCTTCCTTCTAATTTTACTTTATGCATCTAAAACCATTCTGAGAAAATGTCCTTAGAGTCAACAGATTGCCGAAGGGCCCCATGGCCCCAAGAACAGATTAAGATGCCTGCACTAGAAAACCACAGAAGAGTCTTGCTAAGTAATTGCCTTCTACCTGAATGCCTGCCTCCCTAACTAGAAGTTAAGAATCCCAGTGGACATGTGGCTATAAAAGGGCTACAAGAGGAAATGTTCTGTGTCTTGGCTTGATCACTGCCAATATCCCGGTTGTGATTTTGTGTACAGTTTTGCAAGATATTCCCAATGGGTGGATACATGGGCTCCCTCTGCATTATTTTTTTACAACTGCATGGGACTCTACAAATATGTCAAAATAAAAAATTTAATTTAAAATAATAATTTTTAAAAGCCATGGATGGTGTCACTCCGTTTAGTTGAATGAGCCAGTGTGTCTTTGAAACGAGCACTGTCACGTCAGAAATCAGCCTGTGCGGAATGTAACACACCCCCCGCCAGAAATGGGGCCTGGGCTTAGCATCTCAACACTAGTGAACTCATTTTGGCACTTCCAAAAATGATAAGGTATTGATTCTCAGGCTTGCCTGGAGAGCCATTTAATTTCTCCTCAGGTTATCATATGCTCATCCATCCACCCTAATGAAGGAAACAGGATGCCTGTTGGTCAGAGGTGCAACTTCAGGGAATCTGGAAGGCAGTGTGAATAAGAACTAATTGGCTTGTTGGCTCGGGCTTCACACTGAGCCCCATGCCTCGGAGGGGCTTGCCCAAACGTGTAGAAGCCTTCTGAAGTCAGCTGGAGGCCTGAGCTCAGCAGGGATGGTGCCAGAATGTGGAAACTGACCCACAGAGGGGTACTAAGACATGGCAAGAGACTGACCTGGAAGACGCTGTCTTTTTCAATGAGCGCTAAAGATTTTCCTTTCACTTCCATTTTGCTACTGGACATTCAAAAGCAGGTTGCCAACGATTTCCCCTTTCAGATCATTAACTGAACTGGAGCAGGCTGCTGGACCTGTGGTCTTTCACTGAAAGTTGAGAAGACGCCCCCTCCCTTCTGCAACTAAGGCCTGCAGCAACTCATAGTGAGATGAAACACTTTTATGGATTGTCAATATTTAAACACCTTGCCGGTACCTGAGGGCTTTGGATCTCAGCTGTCATCCATTACAGGCCTCATTACACAAAACATTAAATGCTGTATCATCTCATTTTCTCCACCGAAGCTCTCTGGCAAGACGTTCTCCAAGCAGGGGAGGGATTTGCTGAAGGTACTATGGACCTGCTTTTTCTTAGGAGGGCCTCGTCTGGGAAGACTAAGGCATGTCATGTTGGGTGGCCCCTGTGGCCAGGCAGTCTGCTCAGTCTAACGTCTCCCCATCCAGCCACATCTCTGTCTTTCCTGGGGGGACCATAAGCTCATCAGCATTGTGGCTGCTGCCAAGAGGTGGCCAGCAGGCTCAGGCCACCCAGGCAGATGGCAGCGCAGCCTCTTGCTCTTCTGTCTGCATCCTCACTTTAACCTCTGCGAATTCTACCGAAGAGCCTCCGTTGCTGCCATAATGTGAAGATACAGAATTGAACAGCAGCTAATGAAATTAGCATCGGGTTAGAACATAGATCCGCTCTTATTCTGGGAGAGGGGGGTCTGTGAGTGTGCGCACAAGGACATTGTCGTCAGCTTCCACCAGGATGGCCTGGCCAACACATTCATTTTTCTGGTTGTGCATAAGTTTCCTCTGAATCAATGTAGCAAAGCTCCCTGGAAGGCAGTGGAAACTATGCAGTGGGCATATGCAGATGATTTATTTACACAAATTATTCTAAGGCATTTTACTATGTAGATCATGAAACCTAATTTACATATTTACACAATAGACTGGAATGGCACTAAAGGAACTATAAATATATTTTCCTCTGCAAAGCAGCCGTGAAATACACATTTAGGATGTACCCAGTGCAGGCAGGCATTGTATCGCTTTCTCACAAATAATGCAGATAGCCCCAGATGAGGGCCGGTTAGGTGGAGGACGGTCCCTCAGCCCTGATGGGACACTCCCCAGCCAGAGGCTTGAGCCACTTTCCATTTTTCCATTTCCCTCCCCATGCATTTTGTTCATTTTTAGTCATTGGGGACAGGAGTTTTCCATTGAACAAAGAAGAAAATCAGTATTTTTCCAGAGGCTTCTCATCCATGGAAGTTCCCAAGTCAGCACATTTAGCAAGAGGGCTGCGCCGCCACTCTGACTCGTGCCGCTGGCGCTTGTTCACTTCCCGTCTGTCTCATAACTATGTGTGTTGACAGCCTGTCAGCCTTCGCT